AGTGCTAAGTGGGTCGCCATTTATGTAAAGGGGAAAAACCGCCGAAAACACTGTAAGGCTTCCTTGTTCTACGCTGTGGAGATTCTTAAGAGGCGTATAGCAAGAGAAGAGATAACTGGCGGTGAGGAGAGAGGACGACAGGTGGGAGCGTGGGAGCATAGTGGGTTACGATATGATGGGGAGTGGTATCACAACGGTAGGCGGATGGGCCAGCAGTAGGCGGATCGACCAGCAAGCAGGGCGGAGCGGCTAGAGTTTGGCGCATAGTAGCCTAGGCATTTTAGGCATTCTCCACAGCAGCCACAACAACGCCTTGTATCCTATCGTCTGCGATCCCTGCTCCCAAGAAACTGATATCTTTCCTCCAAACGAAATGTTTTTCTCTGTAAGCTATTCCTAGTGAAAGATGAAGGGCCTGTTGAAATCTCCCAGGTCTGCGTAGGTGTGGCCTGATTTTGTTACTTAGAGAAAATATTTGAAAAATTGGCACAAAATTACATGAGTGTCTTGTTTACCATTTCGTTTTACTCCCACAGTGGAGCCGTACGTCTTCCATCCCGAGGGTATGAGTTTTCGTGGGATGCGCATTAGACGCTTGCTTCAGCTTACGGAGGTCAAAAAATGCTAAATTCGTCCTGTTCCCGTTAACAAGTTCACGTCGCGACCTCCATACTAGGGTGCCTGACGTGTCAAGGAATTTCGGCTAAAACGATTTCTCCCATGCGCTGATATAAAGCCTCTATAGGTAGGGTCCCTCACTTTGCCTCCTTCAGCTCCTTTCCTCTTCTATCTTGCATGAAACCACATACGCCTCAAATTCCCCAAAAGTCTTCGTCGAGTTAGGGAAAAATCCCACTCACCCCTGATTGCGTCGTTTTCCATACCTTCCTAAAATACGCAGCCATTTCCCCTCACTTCTACCTTTCTAGCCACATACGGGGAGAAGGCGACAGCTATAACTATTGTGTTATCTTGCTAGTAACCCTGAAAGGAAAAAATTGTCGAGGACCGTGAAGGCTCTTGAAATCATCACCTTGCACAATCATAATCGTCCACAATCACCTTAATAATAGATTTGAACCAAAGTGCGTCATTGCTTTTCATTCTATTCTATTTCATCCTGTTTTGCTTTTACCCCATGGACTGCACATGCGCGCGGATAATCATACCTAGGTGAGATAGATCGGTATTGATTATCCGCGCGCAAAATCGATTCCTATTTTTCCCGCCCTTTTCGAAATTTCGACTGCCTCTTAAACCTCATTCGAGATGCGCGTACTGAAAATGTGTGCCACTAACTTCATTCTTCATATTTTTTTCATACCATTCGGATGAATATGTACATCAGCCAAGATCTGTAAACTTCAAATGTCAAAATACAGTCTTTTCTGGAAACTTAAAAGATTTCACTTTTTTTGCCTAAGTTCCTCCTAAAGAAAGTTGATGATGATATTTCAGAGAGGAAATGCAAGCAGCCAAAGATCGTTTCCAGTCAACTGGATAAGGACAGGAAGGGACACATTACCGTTAATGACCTCAGGCGTCACTTCAGGGTTCGTCGTTTTTTCTCGTTCGTCTTCTTACTTGATTATTTTTTTCAAACTTGTGAAGTAATTTTTTCTTTTTTGAAACAATTTTGTTGCAACTCACACTGCTTTACTTTTACGGACAACTTTACTTTACTTTTTAAATTTCTGACAGACAACATCATCACGCTTTTTTTTCAGGAACACAATCAGAAGATTGATGAGCGAGTACTGCACGAGTTATTGAACGAAGTCGATTTGAACAAGAATGGTGAAATTGAAATCGCCGAGTTCTTCCAGGTGAGAAAAGCTTTTTTCGGTTTTTCTTATTTAATACTCAGTTTCTTGAAATTTCACTTTGGCCGTATTTTATTTTATTTCATTTTTCCCACTAAGCTCAAGTCACGATACTGGTGTTTCATTGTACTCTGGCTTAAGGGTCGGACCAGATCACGCCAATCGTTTGTGGCCTGTACTGACGAAATTCATGAACCACCAGGATGAACCGATCGGAGGCGAGTCCTCCAATTTTGGCGCTTTCTGGCATTCGTTTTCCCATCCTCATGTGTTGACTGTTGTTCTCCCGGGGAATTAATAATTTGGGGCTCGAAGATAAGTAGTTTTTCCCATCTGACGATAGTTTTGCAGAGATCTCAGCAAAGAATAACCATCATTTCGAGGTGCCTCTTAACCAGAACGAACAACTGAACTGGACTACTTATCTGGAGGGCTTTATAAGTGACAGGACAATTCTAGTTTAAGAAACAGTACGTATTTTGAGAGTCTCTTTTTATTCTCTTCTTGATTTCAAAAGCATTTTCGATTTAAAAACATTAACAATATAGCAGAGTCCAGGTTTCTCAGTTCAGACCGCATTAGATGGTACAGTCGCGTGCGCGCGCGTTCCGGTTGGATCAGTTGTATAATTGAGTGACATGGATTTTGTAGACTCGATGAATATAAATATATTTCATAAAGAACTGTGAATAAATAACAGCCATTGAATGTTTGTACAAGGCTCTAGTTTTAAGTAATAACTAGTATTTTATTGTAAAATGTAACTACAGGACATATAACGCTCATCTTGCATTCTAAAAAATCTTCAAACTACTTTTTCTTAGCATTTTTAAATTTGATTTCTGATTGAATTGTCCTTTGGTTATCAATACACTTTGTCACATTTGCATGTTTACAATTACATAATATTATATAACCATTCTGTCAGAACATAGTACCTAGTGTAATGCAATCCTGCTTGCCCCGACGCTGTACTACGTATTAGTTTAAGTCGAACCTGAAACATAAACGCACAATAACAGACCCAAATACATCTAGTGTTAAAGCGTATGAGTAAGAAGTATGTCCGCGAACCTTTTTGCAGCACTAGAGAAATTAGACATTGAATGACAGCCTGCTAGAAGTAAATAGAGGGTCGTGTGCCGCAAGAAGGAATGAATAATCGAGAAAACTACCTAGCAACGAGAAAATGGCGATGTCTCATTGTTCTTAACTTAATCAACGCCAACGCTTCTTCTACTAAGCGGCTAGAGCCCGCGTCGGAGTGGGTCGTGCTACTACGAAGTATCGGTACGGGACGACCAAGATCTATCACCTCGCCGGGGCTTTTTACATCCTTCATGTGTGACTTGCGTGTCGTTCCACACCCTCATTGGGCAAGCTTTCACTCCATCGACAGAAGACCTTATCATGAAATCCTCCTTTGAACTTCATAGCTTTCAATCCTCACGATGTTTGAGGGGGAAATGTGTCAAATCGAAGATATCTGTACTCAATACCGTCTTGTATTTTCTTCAATTACTGAGTTTCAGCTACCATGCGCAGAGAAACAGACTACTCCTTTACTCCTTCTGACACAGGACATTTCTTTGATTGCTGATGTTCTATAGGCTCAATTGTTGTGTAAAGGCTAACCCCCCCCCACCGCTTCTCCATCGACGTCAGAGTTTTGTATCAGCGACTATAACGCAGTGATTATAAAAGAGCATGTTCAGAATGCTCAATGAGCGTGAACGAGCTCTGACGACGGTCGGTTCGAGCAGAGCACAGATAATGACAAAGAAGAGATCTGCGAAATTCAAAAACTCCAATTTTTTAGAGTTGAGGGCGGCAGGGGAGATATTGATATTATAAAATCACCTTTTGTATCTGTTCTGTGAGCGAAGTTAAGGTCCCGGACTAACAAATTTCCCTTCGGGTATTCGATCACTACAGCTGTTTCCAGTGGCCCACACTGCATGTATGCAGATTCACCAACTAGTTGGATCCGCCCATATTACCACTTTGGCGTCGGCTTGACTCTTCATCTTGTTGTACGTCCACTACCATTTATTTGAGGTAAGCAGCGTGAACCGTGCGTTGCGCAGTTCACAGCGAGGGGAGTCGTGTATGAGTTCTTTAGAAGAGGGTTTGTATTAAGGGTTGGTGAAGATCAAAAGGTTGAAAAAAGGGTGGTCGCATTTTTGGAGACTGGATGGATTGTGGTGGCGGAGGAGCGAGGACCTAAATTAGGTATTGGAATTGGAACAATGGACGGTTTGTGCGCGAAGCCAGTTGACCACAAATGATTTTGTTATTTTGTTGTTTTGTTTAGAATGTTATAAATGCTAGTTTCTGTACCACTACAGAATTGTCATTATCGAATTGTTATTATTCCGCACCTGCATTAAGGACATTTTTCTATTCCTTGACGATAGATTTTATTCCTCCTCAGCCAAAAGTCATAATTCTGTATTCCGTATCATACCTCGCTCAAGAGAAACACAATAGTTAATTGAGAGAGCACAAATTCCATTGGTAGTATAAAAACGCACGATGAATGTCATAAACGCCTCAGGCAATAAACGGTTCAACGACATTCGCCTGTCGCAACAAGTGGCGACCACTGCAATCGACAACGACCTACAGCCCCTAAAGAAGTCGTCAGCAATTCTCACCTTCTGTCGGCTCCCGCCACTCGTCAGAGCGACGATCCTCACCTTCTGCCGGCTCCCGCCACTCGTCAGAGCGACGATCCTCAGGCAATAAACGGTTCAACGACATTCGCCTGTCGCAACAAGTGGCAATGTCTTGTTGCGACAGGCGAATGTCGTTGAACCGTTTATTGCCTGAGGCGTTTATGACATTCATCGTGCGTTTTTATGTACTACCAATGGAATTTGTGATCTCTCAATTAACTATTGT